AAAAAAATTTTTTTTTAATTGTTATTTTTTTCAAAAGACTATTGTGAGTTTTTTAATGAATTTTTCTACAAGTTTTGTGATAAAATAATTTTTTACCAGTTCTAATAATAAAATGTTTGATAATTTGTCATCTAAAAATATTAAAACTATTAGTAAATTTTTTTTAAGTTCTTTTTAAAATTTTAGTCAATAATATTAATTTTTTTAAAGGATTATTGAGTTTTTTTAATGACATTTTCTATAGGATAATTTTTTCAATATTAAAATTATTTTAAAAGTATAATTTAACAAAAAATTGAATTATTTGTCAATAAAAAATTTTAATTAATACTTTTTTTTTTAATATCAATTTTTTAAAATGATTTGTAAATTTTTTAATTACATTTTGAATTTAAAAAATTTGTCATCTAAACTTTTTAAAAATTCCATCAACAGAACGTTTAATTATTTGTCATTAAAAAAAAATAATTGCTACTTAAAAATAATAACAGTAAATTTTGATAAACACATTAATTTTATCATCAATTTTAAAGTAGAACTTAAAGTTTTAACAACGAATTTTTCCTAATGATTTTCAACTAATCAATTACAATATACATTTAAAAAATTATATATCTCATATACTAATCACAGTGAAAAATAATTGATTTATAAAAACAAGATAAGTGAATAAAATCAACAGTAATTTTTCTAAAACATACACTGAGTACTCTCAAGTATCTACAAGGTCAGCAGTACGCACGTGTAAAGGCTATCTAATAAAAAAAAAAAAATTTTATTGTCAATCATGACGTTCAACAATATCAATCTTTTGCGTCTGATATTTACATTTTAAACCAAGTCGAAAATTATTAATAAATTACAACAAATTATTAAAAAAAAAAAAAAAAAAAAAAAAAAAAAAAAAAAAAAAATTAACTGGAGTAAGTTTCTAACACTTTTCAAATATTCAATCACGCAGTCATTTGAATAACCCACGCGAACTTGGTGACACTTGTTACATAAATTAAAGTGTGATTAGGCGGAAAAATTAATACATAAACGTTTTGTACTTTTAATCAAGTGACTCATGGGTTATAAATTAAATTTCGTAAATTTTGATTCATTAATACTGTGTAATATTATTATAATTATATTCTACCCGGAATTTTTTTTGGCAAAAAAAAAAAATCAGATCCTGCTAAATGAATTGAGTGACCAAGAAACTTTCATACTTTTTTTTTTCGATACATTCACGGCCGTCGTTTTACCTTGAACGCAACATTTATAAGTTCGTTGATTCGATCATCGGTATTATTATATATAAGACTTGGAACTTTAATAGTTCCTTTTTTATTTTTAACATTTGTCAATTGTTTTATTGAATTTTTTGAGCTCACTTGTTTTATTAACTTTATTACAAGCAATCAATTTAGTTTAAAAAAATTATTGTGCAAATTATCGTTTTAATAAAATTCATTGATAAAATTTTAATGGATCCCAATGAAATTAATTATAAAAATATTGGCATAGGAGTCAAAATTATTAACACTGGATTTTTTAAATATTTATCTGTAAAATACCATCAAAAATAAATTAGAGCAAAAAATTAAGTTCAAGGTAAATTTGTAAAATATAATAATATAATTTGGAGGGTCTTTTTAAAATGTTATTTTTTTTTATGTCAACTTGGACTTTGGAATTTTAAATATTATTAATAAGAATTAACATTAGGTGTCAAAGATAAGAATTATCAATTTTTAATGTTATTTTAATGATGCATTGATCGATTATATATTCATTAACATTGATTAAATTGATTTAATTTTATAAGATTCAACTTTTTGGCTGGTTAAAAAATTTTGTTATTAATTTAAAAATTTTTTTGTCTAATAATTTTTGTTTTAATAAATAATTTTTAAAAATTAAATTATTTCCAAGGTAATAAAATTTGTAAAAATTAATTTATATATTCCAAGAATTTATAAAAAATATGATTTTTAAATAAAAATAAAAATTTTTACACTAATATCTTTTAAATTTAATAAAATATTTTGAAACTAGAATTTTTGTTTTAATAAATAATTTTTAAAAATTAAATTATTATTTCTAAGGCAATAAAAAAAATTTGTAGACTAATTTATAAATTCCAAAAATATATAAAAAAAATATGATTTTTAAATAAAAATAAAAATTTTTACACCAATAATATTTTTTTAATTTAATAAAAAATTTTTGAACTAGAATTTTTGTTTTAATAAATAATTTTTAAAAATTAAATTATTATTTCTAAGACAATAAAAAAAATTTGTAAAAACTAATTTATAAATTCCAAAAATATATAAAAAAAATATGATTTTTAAATTAAAATAAAAATTTTTACACCAATAATATATTTTTAATTTAATAAAAAATTTTTGAACTAGAATTTTTGTTTTAATAAATAATTTTTAAAAATTAAATTATTATTTCTAAGACGATAAAAAAAATTTGTAAAAACTAATTTATAAATTCTAAAAATATATAAGTATAACAAAAAAAATTTTTAATTAAAATTCTAATTTTAAATCCTCAAAAATTTTCTAAAATTCCAATTTTTAATTTTCACTCCAAATTTAAAAATTTTAAAATTTCAGCCAAAAAAAAAATGTCTACCCTACTAAATTACACAACCGGCTCCAAAAGCTCCAAAGATTTTGTAGAAAATATAACCGAGCGCGACAAAAACTACGAAAACTTCAAGAAAGCATCTAAAGCTGCCAAGTACGCGTGGAAAAAAAATTCCGGGTCTGACAAATTCACTAGCCACATGTCAGAAACTATCCCCAAGCGCTTTTAACAAAACACACGAAATTTTCAAAATAAATCAGCCGGTAAGCGTAGCAAATAACAACAAAAATCTACAAATTGAAATGCGTAGATGCGGATAATTATACCAACACCATTCTATATCTCCTCCGGGTGTATAAAGCGCTAAATATATAAATAAGAAAATATATTTTTTAACTTGAACCTTGATCCTAGATACATTATTTATCACTCTACTCGCCAGAACAGAATCACACAATGCAGGAATATATAAATTTAAATAAAACCGAGTACGAGGTTTCAGCGATTTCAGCTTTCAGCAAATCGATAATGCCCAATAAATATTCGCATTTTAATTCATCCAATCTCTTGGATCAGTATCCAAGTTAAGCTTACAATCAAAATAACATCAGGAGTATTTCAAAAAATATTTTTTTCATTGAAAAAATCAACAATATTGAAGTTAAAACCATCAGCTGTCAATTTTTTAAATTTTCTTAACAAATTAATAACAATAAAAAAATACTTCTAAAAATTTTCACTTGTAATTTTTACTAATTTTTACATGTGGAACTTTTTAATTAATTTTTTTTTATAACAATTTAATTGCTATAAAATTCTAAAAAAATTTTTAATATCTGTCAACTTCAGTGTCATAAAAATCATCACAATGATATAAAAAAAAATTTTTACTTTTAAAAAACTTCAAAAACTATAAGTGAAATTTTTTAAAAATATTTTTTCGTTTTAATTTAATTATTAAAAAAAAAATCAAATAATTAAAAATGTCGGCTAACTTTAGTATCATTTTTTAGTTCTAATTTCATAAATGAAAAATTATCAAAAAATTAATAACGTTGGCTAACTTTAATGAAAATTAATTTAACAGATATTTAATAATTTTAATAATTTTTCTAATAAATAAATTACTGCATAAAAAAAATAAGAAAAAAAATTGACATTTAGAAAATTTAATAAATTAAAAATGCAATTTTTAAAAAATAATTTTTCGGAACAAATTTTTTTGATGAAACTAAAATTAGCCGACAGCAAAAATTTTTATTAATTGAATTAGAAATAATAAAATATTTTTCAAAAAATTGCACTTATAGTTTCTCATTTTTTTTTGCACGTGGAATTTTTTCTTATTAATTTTTTTGCAATAATTTTATTAATAAAAAAAATCAAAAATGTCGGCTAATTTTAATGAAAATTAAGTTAGCCGACAGTGAAAAAATTAAATTTTTTTTTATTAATTCAATTAGCAATAAAAAAATATTTTTAAAAAATTGCACGTATAATTTTTCAAATTTTTTGCATGTGTAATTTTTTCTTTTAATTTTTTTTGTAATAATTTTATTAAAAAAAAAAAAAATCTGAAAATAATCAGCTGTCTGCTAATTTTATTTTTATTAATTTTATTATTATTACTAACTTTACTATTATTTTTTTTCGACACGTTTTTAAAAATTGCCAACTGTCTACTGACTAAAAACAAATAATAACAATAATAATTACCACTATAATTGTTTAAAAAAAAAAAAACAATTGATATACTATAAACAACCTTACCTAAATGATCCGCAACTATCAATCAATAAATAAAAAAAGGACTTATAGATATAGCAAGCAGCTGATTATGATGCACCATGTACATGAGCATAAATGCAACACGTGACCATGTGACTTAACACAAGATCTACGAGATACGAGGACGGAGGACGTGTATTAGTTGTTATCGTGTCGCTTTTTCTCTCTCTCTATCTCTCTCTCTCTCTCTCTCTCACTCATTTAAAATCATCCCCACCATTTGTACTCGCAATTGCGCGCAGCCGTACTTTTTCTGTTTCTATTCCGCATACAGTTTGTTTTTTTATTATTATTTTAAAATTATTTCTACGTACTTTTCCTGTAATAACGATCCAACTTTCCGGCTTCCGGGAACGTAACACTGAACACCTGGATTAAAATTTTTATTACTATTTATTTTTACAAATTACAGACAGCCACTCTACCTTAAATCATAAACTTTGCTAAACTGGTGACGTTTTACGTTTTCAGTCACTATAATATAAGATGATAAATTTTATTCACGGGTGATGGTTCACTGGAGTGGATATGAGGATGATATAACAGTGATATGAGGTACAATGGCTAACACCTTTCCCGGCGACGGATAAAAACCGACTGCTGACGATCTGACAGAAGACTGCATGGATAGTTTTGGTGAGTACGGAAAAAGAAGGGGAAACTTTATCTTCGATCTTCAATCTTCGTATTTCCTGGATCAAAATTATTAAATATGTCATTAAAGTTAGCCGACGTTTTAATTTTTTTTTTTTAATGATCATATTAGAACAAAAAAATTTTTTTTAAAATTGCACTTACAGTTTTTGAAGTTTTTTAGACGTGCAATTTTTTTTTTTTATTTTTTTGTAATGATTTTTTCAATAAAAAAAAATTATAAAAATTTTTAAATGTCGGCTAACTTAATTTTCATCTAAATTTTTTGATTTTTTTTTTTTAATGATTAAATTAGAACAAAAAAATTTTTTTAAAAATTGCACTGACAGTTTTTGAAGTTTTTTAGACGTGCAATTTTTTTTTTAATTTTTTTGTAATTATTTTTTCAATAAAAAAAAATTATAAAAATTTTTAAATGTCGGCTAACTTAATTTTCATAAATTAAATTAGCTGACATCTGAAAATTGTTACTGTAAAATTAAAAGAAAAAATTTCACATGTAGAAAATTAAAAAAATTATCCGTGCAATTTTTTTTAAGTATTTTTTTACTAGCAATTTAATTGTTAAAAAAAATAGAAAAATTTTTGAACGTCGGCTAACTTTAGTATCATATTTCCTGGATCCACTTTGTATGAAAATTAATTTTGCGGATATTTAATAATTTAAAAAATTTTTGTAATAAATAAATGATGGCAAAAAAATTAGAAAAAAAAATTGACGTACAAATTTAAAAAAATTAAAAATCCAATTTTTTTTTATCAAATTTATTTGTTAAAAAAAATTAAAAAATAGTCAAGTGACTGCTAACTTTAAAGTCATTTACTTTATTGGTAATGGTAATTATAACTTATATTAATATAAATGATCATTTTTTATTATTTACAGTCAGTTGAAGCATGACGGCCATTTAATAAACTTGCTTTTTTTTTCTATTTCAGGTTCATGACGCTTCAATGCTGGAAAATAAATAAGTTGATAGTTAGTTTGATGTTTTTATTTTTTTGTAGAAAGTTTTTGCTTACTGATTAAATTTGTTCCTATTTTTTGCTCCTGTTTTGTTGAATTAAGCTCCCGGATAATAGCGGCGTTAAATGACAGAGCTGCGATTCGGGAAAATAACTCGGTGATTCCGTCATTGGTTTTTGAAGAAACTGACCAGTATTCGGCTCTCAGACACTCGGCGATTGTGATGGCACGTTTTTCTACTATCTCATAGACTTGGGTCGACTGGAAATTTTATTTATTTAGATTAAAATTTTTGTTAATAATTATTGAATAAATTTAAATATATTTTTTTTTTGTATGAAAATTAATTTAGCAGATATTTAATAATTTTTAGAATTTTTCTAATAAATAAATTACTGGATAAAAAAATGAGAAAAAAAATTGACATTAAGAAAATTTAATAAGTTAAAAATGCAATTTTAAAAAAAAAATTTTTCGGAACAAATTTTTTTGTCAAATAAAATTGAAAAATGGTCAAGTGATAGCTAACTTTAAAATAATTTTTTTTTGTCTTTATTTTTCTTAAAAAAATTGTTTGGTTGAAAAATAGATTCTATTTTATTTACAAATATTTTATAAAATTATTAATTAGAATTTTTTCTTTTTAATTTTTTAATTTGAAAGTTAAAAAAAAATTATACTGAATTCTTGAAATTTTTGTAAAAAATTCTGACATAATTTTTTCAAATTTCTAAATGTGAAATTTTTTTTAATAATTTAATTGTTAAAAAAAAATTACTATAGATCGGATATTTCAGTATCATAAAAAAAAAATTTTTGTAAAGTTTTATGTTAATTTTGATTGAAAACTGGGAAGAAATGAACATTGAAAATAATGATAGTTACCATTAAATCTCTTTTAGTACCAACAAGAAATACAAAATAATTTCCAGTATTTGATCTAGCAGCTTCTTCCAACCATTGCTTGCAATGAGACAGTGATAGTAAACTTGTTAGATCAAATACGAGCATTATGATATTAGCACCACGGTAATACGACGCAGCTATTGCTTTAAAACGTTCTTGGCCTGCAGTATCCCATCTGTTAAAATTAAAAATGATAACAATAACAAAAAAATATTAATAATAACCCTGGTTAAAAAAAAGAAGAATAGAAAAGAATTGATCATATATAAATTGTATATCTGTATTGTATTAATATAAAAGATATACAATTGCATTTGGTGACTTCTTTTGAATTTTTTTTTTTTAAACAGTAAATAATAATAGTAATTCAATATATAATTCGAAGATCGGTATTTTTACTTATTAAGGAGATGGTTATTATTTTTCGGGTACTTGGGCTGAAAAAAAAATAACTATCTTTTTAATAAATAATAATAATAATATTTATTAAAGAGGATTTATTATTTTTTTAAGCCAAATATATAATCCCAATTTAAAATTGTCTTAAAAATCAAAATTTTTAATTATTATACATTCACCCGAGAATGATATGAGTGCTCATACCGACAATATTGTAGTGAAAATAATTAATAAATAAAAATTGAATAGCCTCTAAGTGGATGGGGTAAGTTGGCTCAAAAAATAATAAATATTAAAATCACCGATCTTAGTAATATATTTTCTAAAATAATAATAATAATTGTTATTATTTTTTCCGAATTATTTTTTCGGTTACCGAAAAAAGTTTCACTGAATAAAAAATAACATCTTTACATACCTAATCCCAACTAAAATTGTCTTAAAAAATAAAAAAATTTGTAATTATTATATATATTCATCCGAGGAGTATGAGTGCTCATACCGAAAATACTTAATAAATGAAAATTGAATAAATAGTCTTCAAATGATACTAAAGTTAGCCGACGTTTTAAATTTTTTGATTATTTTTCATTTATTAAATTAAAACTAAAAAATATTTTTAAAAAATTGCACTTAAAGTTTTTCATGTTTTTTACAAATGAAATTTTTTTTTTATTGTTTTGTAATAATTTTTTTTAATAAAAAAAATTTTTTTAATTTTTAGATGTCGGCCAACTTAATTTTCATAGTCTTCAAGTGTCTCTTGGGTTAAAAATAATAAATGCTCTTTAATAAGTAAATATACCGATCTTAGAATAATATAAATAATAATAATAATAAATAAATAAATAAATAACTTTACATTTGTAAATTGAAGGGAACATTGAGAATATCAAATCTCTCAACTTCAAAATCAACCCCAATAGTAGGTTTGTAATTATTATTATATTTTTTGTGACAAAAAACATTGACCAGTGAAGTTTTACCAACAGCAACATCACCGAGGACAATAAGTTTTGATATTCTGGGAGCACTAGATACTGACAAACATGCCCGGCGTACTGTTACATCAAAATCTCTTTCCTGGTAAGGTGTCATAGTCATAGAATATGGAGGCGGCCATTTAACAATCTATATAAATAATATAAAATAAATTATTTATGAGTTAATGATTTTGTTACATGTTAAATTTTAATTAATAAAAATAACTTACCCTTCTTTCTTCACTCGCTGATGGCTGCAACATTTTGTAAACCGCTGATCTTGTCTCCAGCATTATTTTGCTGTGGACAAGATAAGAGTGCTCTGGTACAAACTATCCGTGATTAATTTTCAAATTAAGTAATATAGTTTTATAAAATAAAAAAAAATAATTAAAGACAATTGATATGAGTCTTTTGTTTTGTGAAAGTTGAATGCGGGTGTACGGGTTCGGAAAACGAAAACATTCGTTGCCTAGACAGGTGTCACTTTAACTTTCGCGGGGGGAATAAATAATAGTAATAATAATTTTAGGGTGAAGATAGTCAGTGATAAATAATAATAATAATAATCTACTGCTGGTAAGTTAGAATAATTTATTTATTTTAAATTAATGTGTTCTAATTAAAAATTTATGAATATTTATTAATTGAGTAAGAACAAAAAAAGTTAAGAAAAAAAAATGTAAGAATTGTTTAATTAATATTTACAAAGTTATATTTGTAATAAATTAAAAAAAAAAATCAAATACTCATTAAAGTTAACTTAATCAATAGAAATTTTTAATTAAACATTTATATTAGTTGAAATTTTGAAAAACATAAAATTGAAATTTTAAATTTGGCGGGAATTCAAATAAATAGCGCGCGCATTTTAGAGTTATCTTCAAATTGTAGTAAAAATATAATTAAACTTTATTTCTTCTTTTATATTTTATTAAATTTATTTTAATTTAATATTATGTATTTTAGAAATAATAAAATAAATCTAATTAATGTTATTTTAAATTAGTTAAAAATTACAAGTAGTTTCATATAAAACATGAATATAAAATTTCAAACAAAAAATTTTTTTATCGAGAATCATTAATTAAGAATTTCATATCCCAAGCGTCACAAAAAAAAAAATGATGACTTTTTGATTTTTTTATCGAGAATCATTAATTAAGAATTTCATATCCCAAGCGTCACAAAAAAAAAAATGATGACTTTTTGATAGATTTCACTCAATAAGAAGTTAAAAAATTAATAATCGTCAACTTAAATTCAACAAAACATTAACAAGAAAAAAATTTATGCCGCTTTTGGGATCTTAATATTTGCAATTATATTCCAAGCGGCACAAAATTTTTTTTGACAATATTTTGTTGGATTTAAGTTAACAATTATAAATTTTTGATTTCTTGTTAAATAAAATCTACGAAAAAGTCAACAATTTTTTTTTTTGTGACATTAAATTTTTTCATTTCTTCAGTTTAACAACATTTAACTTACTCCTCATGTATTAATTTTTTCACTCCGCACTCCATATGAGTTTAATTATCCAGACAGGAAGCATCTATGTCATTAATCATCTCATTAGTCATTAGGATAAAAAATAACGAATAGAAGGAAAATAAAAATCAGCCTATTACTTTGAAAAACCTTTAAAAGTTATAAAGTCTTTTTGTTGCCGATCTTCTATAATGTACTTGTTTCCTTTATGGCTGTCATTGATCCTGACGTGACACCGAATAAATCTTCAAAATGTCCTACGAATCATCTTCTACTTTATTTAAAAATATTAATTAAAAATAATTGAATGCGGCCTATTTTATAACATTACTCAACACAAAATTAAATTAGTTCATATTAATATACGCAGTCGATTATTACAAGCATATTCACTTTTTTCTTGATTGTGTCATCAATTATTTTTTATAAAGATCGAGAATTAAGTAAAATTATGCTTAGATTATAGTCGATTAATTAAAAAAAAAAAAAAAAATTATGTTTATTAAAATTATGAAAGATATTTTTTCATTAAATATTATTATAAAAAATCACCTAATTAGAAGATTAAACATCCACGAAGAGAAAATTAAAGGAATTTTCACTATTTTACTATCATAATTTTTATTAAATAAAATAGTAACGGTAGACTATAACTGCTTATATTTGTTTAAAAATATTAATTGAAAAAAATTCATATGAGATTTTAATTTTTTTTAATAATTTAAATTGATTTCAATTTCTCAGTATATATCTATAGATATATAATTTGCATAAGAGCGACTTTTTTTTAATTTTTTTCAATGAATATTTTTAAACAGGAATTTAATAATTTTTACTATCTACTACCGTAAATTTTATTCAACAAATAAAACTATTATTAGTAAGAGCCTTTTAAATTCCAATAGTTTAATAGCACTGGAAATTTTTAAAATGAATAAAAAAATAACAACAATTTTACTTTTAATCTAATTTTTTATTTTCTTACTATTTACGATGGTAAATAGTAATATCATATTTTTTCTAAGCGAATTTAATACATTGATCTTTTGATAAAATTACAATAGTAAACTGTAAAGAATCTTTTCTTCTTTAAATACGCTTTTGAAGGAACAGTAAATTATCGTCTAAAATATTTGAAAGTTGCCACTAATCCAATAATAGTCCAGCGTTACGATAGTTGTATTAGAAATTTTCTTAGAATTTCTTTGCCGCGTACCGTTTTAAGAACCGTGGCTAGAAGAAAAGAATTCTAAATGATTGATTAATGTTAATTTTCATTGAGAAGAAATTCTTAATTTCACAATAATTAAATTTTCATTATTTCTAGCACTAAAATATCTAAAAAAATATAGTTTTTTAAAACTAAAGTTATCAATTAAATATATTTATAAATTCAAACTATAACGAGTATATATGCGGAAGTTCTTGAAAAATATAAAAAATATTTCTTCTTATAAAAATAAAGATAAATTTTTGTTTTTTTATATAAATAATTGCAACAAATAATGCAATTTCTTCAAATTTTTTAATCAAGAATGTCGAAATAACTAAAAATTCCTTCAACAGTCGAAGTATCAGCACCAGTAAGCAATAAAGAGAAATGCAAGCTTTGCAAAAAATTACCAACGAGTGTATCAAAAAAAAAAAAATGTGTGTCAAAAAGTGTATTGCGAAAATCCATAACGCAACTGTTTGAAGGTGTTCAATATATTTCATGCCTCGGACGATCATATAAAAAGCCATTTTTACGCACTTGAATCAGTTCGGTTTCGGCATTGATTCCGATAATATCTGCCTAAATTAGTAAATTAATTTTAATATAACATGAAGATAATACTCGGGTTTTTATTGTGCGGCCTAGCTTGCGCTCTGCCGTACAATAAAACTGGAAAACTGGAAGCTCCTAAAATCAAGACTGATCTCAAGACGAAGGAAGATAAATTATTCACTTCATTGTTGCCAAAAGTTTTCAATCAAACGGGAGTCAATAATAGCAGAGCTAAAAAACAAGCTACTTATTATTTTGTTCAGCCAGATTCAACTCAATGCTGTCCTTGTTCGGGAGCAGGAGCTTCAGGAACTACTGGAACTTTTGGAACTGCTGGACATACGGGAAGCTACAGAATCATTGAGACTACAGGAACTACTGGAACAACAGGAACAATTGGAACTTCAGGAACTGTTGGAACAACAGGAACTGTTGGAACAATTGGAACTTCAGGAACTGTTGGAACTTCAGGCACTGCTGGGCATTCGGGAACTATAAGAATCATTGATTCTTCAGGAAATATTGGAACAACAGGAACTGGTGGACATACAGGAATCATCAGACTTGGTGGAATAGGAACCACTGGAACTACTGGAACAACAGGAACAGGAACTATAACCAATGAAAATCTTAATTACGGATCATCACCTTCAAGCGGAGGAACTACATATCTTTTCCAACCAGGATCAACTTCATCCCAAGGAGGTCAACTAACAACCTGCTGCTATCCATGCGTCGTACCTGCTCCACAACCACCACCACAACCACCAATAGTAGTAACAGTAGACAAGACTGTAACTCCACCACCAACTCAGCCTCCAATTGTCGTGCAATTCGAGTCGCATCCAGCTCCGCAGCCAGACATTTACCTCCACATGAAAACACCGGCAATCCAAATGCAAAACTCCTACACTAACAGCACCCACACTGAAAAAATAGTCGAGCATAAATCTGATGAGTCAACGAAATGCGATCAAGACACTTACGTAGTATTGCCACCAGCAGACACTCAGTCCTCGGTTATGTACGTCCAGTTCCCGATTATTCAACACCAAACGCCAGTCTTTCCTCAAATTCTCGTTGGAAGCTCCAAACTTATAAATGCCTGCTTGAATAAAACTGGATCCAGTTCGGTAGCAGAATCTGAGTCTTCTTCTTCTTCATCATCATCAGAGACTACTTCTTCAGGATCTAACTCTTTTGCAACCAATTCTGGTGTTTCTTGTGAAGCAACTCAACAAGTTGATGCTGGGAATAATAATAACATTAATGGACAGTTATTACATTTCCCTGGAGAAGCCAATCAACAAGGACAATTCTATTCTGGGCAAGTGTATCAATCTGGACAATTCAATGGATACGGACTGGGACAATTCAACCAACCGGGGCCATTTGATCCCCAAGTTAATTCAAACGCACCGCTTCAACCACAAATTTGTGGAGTTGAAGGTAATTTTAATCTCAACAGATTTCAACCTAGTCCAGGATCTTGGGCGGGAAACTTTGAAATTCCAAGAGAACAGCAGATTTATAGATATCCCAGTTTTCGTGCTGCTAACAATGATGATCTAAACAAACAAATTCCTCAGTTGAACCCTGTAAGTTTTTGTTATTATTGTTTTTTTATAAACTTTTTTTTATTGGATAAATTTATTAATTTTCGGTTTTTTGTTACAGGTCACTGGACGACCGGATCAACATGTGGGTCAAGGGCAGATGACACCCGACAACTTGATGAGGAGATACTTTTCTCGGTCTGTGTCGGCTGATAAAGGCGCAGAGTTTGATTCTTCAGAAGTAAAGTCGAGTGCTGACTCACATGAAGTACAACCTCAGGATGGCAAAGGCGCAAGCGTTTCTCCGCCGGTTCAAGTGTTACCTTCGCTGACGAAAAATTCATTGAAAAATTTTGAAAATAATAAAGACTCAAGTGGCTCTAAAATTAGTGATAGAAAAAAGTTTAAAAATTAATTAAGTTTTTGTAAGTTTGTACGAATTATTATTTGTTAATTTTTTTGAGTAACTTAATAGTTATTTATAAGATTGACACTTGTTCATTTTTTTTTATTTCTTTAAAATAAATATTGGATTATATTTTGCAAATTTTTTGTTCTGTTATTCCAATCACTTTTTATTTTATATTTACTTTAGTTATATTTTTGTAACATTGAAATTTTTTTTAGTATTTTAAGTTAATATATTGGAACGATTCAGATCAATAGATTTTGAGAAATCTCAAAAAAACTACAAAAAAATTTTTTTTTTTCAAATGGGGTTTACTGGGAAGCAGCCGACAGATATTAAATTTTTTAATTAACATTTTTAATTATAGAATCAATTAAACCAGCATTTGCATTATTTATTCTAGTAAAAGTTTTAATTGAATTCACAGTTTTTATTGATTCAATTAAAATTGTCTATTCCACATAATGTTTTTCTTCTCTACGTTATATATACATAAAACTAATTTATTGAATTATTTATTGCAGCTGTTTGATCACTGCCTAGCACCAGATACCTGCGGCGACGGTACCGGGTGTGACAACATGACAACAGTGATCGTGAAGCTGAAAAACGATACAGAGGACCAAAAAAAACAAGACCGAGGAGTCTTTTTTATTATTATTAATTACAATTACCTAATTTCAAACATTTTTTACAACCGTACAGTTTTCTTTTGTTAATTAAAATTACGAGGGAGCATTATTTTTTTTTTTTTTTTTATTTAAAAAGATTCCTCACACACGGGAAGAACAAGATGATACTTAATATCATCTCAGATTATAGTGAGTGAAAAAAATTTTTAGATAGTAGTTAGTATAATTCAGATTACAATTATTACAATGAGTATAATCCAGATATCACGCAGTATAATCTAGATTTTTCTAGCTACTATCTGAAAAAGAAAACAATTTATTTTGTTGAAGAAATTTTTTATGAAAATTATTTTTATTCTGAAATTATAATAATAAGAATAATAATAATATTATTATTATAATTTCAGAATAAAAATAATTTTCATAAAAAATTTCTTAAACAAAATAAAAATTTTTTTTTTTCTATCATAAAAATAAAAATATAGTACTAAAGTTAGCCGACGGTTTCAATTTTTTGATTTTTTTTTAATAATTAAATAAGAACAAAAAATATCTTTAAAAAATTGCACTTACAGTTTTTCAAATTTTTAACAAATAACAATTTTTTTTTTTTTTTAGTAGTCATTTTTTCAAAAAAAAAAAAAGTTTTTAATTTTTAAATGTCGGCTAACTTAATTTTCATAAAATTAATAAAAATTACAAGTGAATATTTTTAGAAGCATGTTTTTATTAAAATTGATTTGTTGTAAAAATTTTTTAAATAGACAGCTGACAGCAAACTTCAGCATCATTTTATTTAATAAACAAATTTATTATTGAACTTTTAAAAAATACAAGTATAAAATTTTTTATTGGTCATTTATGAAACGCATCGACGAAAGCTGATAAGTGATCATTATTAAGATATTCCATTATTATTATTATTATAACGTCGTAGGGGACAGGAATAAACTTGCACAGTGTCGGAATATCTTCGATTCATCCCATAAGCTCTCTTTGCTTGTGTGCATCACTAATTTTACACTTTCACCCGATGCAAAACTTATTAAAAATAATTTGCTGTAGCGATTAAATGTTTCCTAAAATTATTATAGTACTCAGTATAGTTTTCAATAAACTTTTTGTCTTTTACTAACAATTTCAAAGTTTTCTTAAAAACTTTAGTCACAACATCACAAATAGTCAAATTCGGACTAAACCGTTGCATCAACCAAGAATTAATGACATTTTCTTTAATGTTATCGACAATTTCTTTAAGTTCTATCTCATCACCAATTAATTGGTCCATTAATTTAATTTCCTCTTTTTGAATGAATAAACCGAATTGGCGCCGTAGAGTATATACTTCTAGGATATAAACTTAATGCATCGCCTTTTTCTATCTTCTATTAATGATCTATCATTTGAATTTATAGTAAACTTTTTTGGATCAACAGGAATCAGCGAAAATGGTCAATTATTTTCCAATCCCCTTGGTTTACTGCTTCAACCAGATTAAATTCTTTTTGCATTTCTGGCATGGTGGTATTCTAAAACAATATTTTTTAATTAATAAATTAAAGATTAATAATAATAATAATAATAATAATATCTTGACTAAAGTATTTCAGAAAATTTTTCTAACCTAGAAATAAATTTATTAAAAATTAATACGAATTCGCGCGTAAATTTGAATTCTAGTCCCATAATTCTACTCTTATAATCCCATAATAAAATTGACTGCATTCAGGTTTACTAAGTTCTGAGTAAGGCTGACTTTATCTACCAAAAAATTAATATTTAGACACACTTAAATAAATATACCTTGCATTGTTTTATTATAGATTAGATCCTATATACTAAAATTGATGGTAGAATGAAGTTAGCTTAGTATTGAAAACATGGACCCTGATTCCTTATTGGTTGAAATTTAGATTGAAGTTAGCTTAGTATCGAAATAACGTTCAGAATTAGAGCGCGCGCGTATGCGCGTAATTTAAATTCCTAGTTTTTTAAAAAAACAATATAGTTACTTTAAGTTGTTGCTACAAGATATGCTAAGAGATCTGCCAAGAACTTAGTAAACTTGAACGCGGCCATTGGTTGAAAATATTTATAAAAAATTATTTATAAAAAAATGAACAACGAACAAACAATAAAATTAATCGAACAATCACGAACAAACGATTTGGCAATAAAAAAGTTAAAAAAATTGATTTCCCCCCGCCAACTTAAGAGAGCCTCATTCTGATTGGTTGAAAGTTATAAAATTGAGATGAAATGTATGTTGCATCAAACTATTCGTAACATGATTGGTCAAATATATATCATAAGCATGAAAATATATGCAAACTCTATAGTCAAGGCGCGCTTGCGCGCGCAAATTCAAATTCTAGTCCCATAATAAAATTGAGATCAAATGTGTATGTGAAACCAATCTATTCGTGATGTGATTGGTCGAATATATATCATATGCATAAAAATATATGCAACCTCTAAATTTACTAAAGCGGATTAATAATCAGTTAAGCGAAAAAGCGGAATTTTATCAAGCTAAACTTTGCGCAGGCGGCTAGTTTTTGCGGGAACTAATTGACTACTGTTGAATTTGAGTAAGGTTGTAACTGATTAAAATTCTACCTGAAGACAAATAATATTGAATAAAGTTGAATCAGAGTAAACATTTAAATGAAAATGAAGTTAGCTGTCATTTCAAAATTTTTAGAAATTTTTTATTGAAGAAATTTCAATTAAACAATTAAAAAAAAATTTTCACATGTAAAAAACTTGAAAAACTACAAGTGCAATTTTTTAGAAATATTTTTTTAGTTGTAATTTATTTTAAAAAAAAAAAAAATCAAAAATTTTTAAACGTCTGCTGAATAAAATTGTGACTGAATGAAGATGATTTTGAATAAAAATGTAATTGAGTGCAGATATCGTTGATGGCTGTGAGTAGAGATTTTATGAGTAGACCTGTAACACAGCCATTTAATTTTATTTAATTATTACAAAAATTATCAGCTGACGTTAAAATAGCGCGACGATGGTCACGTAGACCGTCTTTGTGTTCTTTGTTGTGTACTTAGTATTTTGTATGTAATGTGTAAAGTAAAATGTAGTATACTATAGTATATAATATTACACTAATACAAAGACTTCCTGGAGCTGAGGAAAATGAAATAATAAAAAAAAAGGGAAGAAAAATACAAAAATCGTACACCGTACTACGGGATACAGTTGATGCCGTCTTTATATTCGCATCACTTGACTGACTCCACTTCTTAATTCTTCAAACTATCTTAACTGCAGGTTTTACTTTACTGTAACTTATTATTAAATATTAAATTTATTACTGAGTGTCCAATATTACAATTGATTAATAATTTAATATATTTTATTGCAGGTTTTTTATAGACAATAATTACTGTTTATCTTCGGTCTCATCTACGACATTATACTGTGTGAAATTTATTGGAAGTATCTAGTAGTTACATTAACATTTATATTTATACATATACATATACATATACATATACATATATATATATATAGATAAATATTAAATCTACACACATTGTCTGCTAATATAAAAATGCATTTCCACGAGCGTCAGCCCATCATTATTTGTCAAGACTCGGAAAAGCAAGTTTACTAATGCCATGTTCGACTCAATTACTAATAATAATAATAATAACAGTTCGAGTAATAACAATAATAACCAGGACGCAGTCAGTCCAACTCTAGCCAACAATCTCCGGAGATTTCGTTTTCAAAAGAAACCTCTTGATAAATTAAAAATGTGTAAGTACTTTTTGGTCAACTAAACTTCCAAACCTCCAAAGAGGTTGCTGCTCTTTTTTGTTATTGTAATTATTGATATTTTTAATAATGAGTTGTTCTTTATTAATCAGCTGACGAAGATAGCAATTTGGCGAGTCCGGATATCCAAGTACGTCGTAAAGCAGTCAACCGGATTGAAGACAGTGATAGTGATGCTGGAACACCTGTTAAAAAATTCGATGCCAAGAGTAATGGTGATACTAATGACAAAGACGAAAAGCTTGCGTACCTGATTAATTTGTACCCTAATCGTGACACAGATGTTTGTATTTTTTCTTTTTAAGATTTGTTGTCTAGATTTTGTTTACTGAAGGTCATGGACATCTTAGTGTTTATTCAATTACTTGCTCTTAATTTTTTGGAGTAATTTTTCTGATTGATGAATTTGAACCACGTGTTTTTTATAATTTTTTTTTAGTTAAAATTTTTTAAATGCCAATTTGCTGGTAATCAGAAAAAATATACCGGAAAAAATTTTTAAGTTATGAAAAATTCATCTTATTTCATTAGAATAATAAAATAAAAATAATAATAATAATTCACAATTTTCTTGAAAAATAAGCACCCCCAAAATGATCGCTCCATTTTTTGTTACAAATTATTATTATTATTATTATATAATTTTAATGAAATAATATGAATTTTTCATAACTTTAAAATTTTTTCCGAGATTCAAATTTGCTATAAAAAAATTTAGTTTTTTTATTGTTCAATATTTAAATAAAATTAAAGTTAGCAGTCACTTGACAATTTTTTAATTTTTTTTTTTAACAAACAAATTTGTTCGAAAAAATTATTTAAAAGAAATTGCATTTTTAATTTTTTTAAATTTCAATTTTTTTACAATAATTTGTTATAAAAATTCTTAAAATCATTAAATATCTGCTAAATTAATTTTAATAATATTTAATTGAAAATTTTAATAACATTATTTTTACTCACTTGTTTCAAAAGTCATAATCATGTCAATTAAAATTGTTTCTATCAATTTTAAGCATCTCCATCAGTATTTCTTGTCTTTTTAGTTATTATTTATACAAAAGTTAATTTTTTAACGATTATTGAATTTAATTAATTTATTAAAAAATTGACGTCTGTTATATATTTTTTAATTTAAAGGAAAAAAAAACTATCAGATGTCTGTAATTTTCAGTTAGACTATTTTATTTATAAACTAATTAATATACACCCACAGGATTTACAAGAAGTATTAATTACCGTCGACTGGGACTTAGACAAGGCTAAATCTCGATTGAGTACAACTAAAAAAAGAAAAAAAACTTCTAGTAAATCAAATAAAAAAAAACGTAGAAAAGGTCGAAATATGGATGAAGAAGACGGTGAACCTGATTCCGATGAAAAGACCTATAAAAGTAAAGTATTTGACAGGTAATAATAATAAATCCACAGTTTATTTTTTACTAAAAAAAAAAAAAAAAAAAAAAAAAGGTTTTTGAATTTAATTAATTTATTAAAAAATTGACGTCTGTTATATATTTTTTAATTTAAAGGAAAAAAAAACTATCAGATGTCTGTAATTTTCAGTTAGACTATTTTATTTATAAACTAATTAATATACACCCACAGGATTTACAAGAAGTATTAATTACCGTCGACTGGGACTTAGACAAGGCTAAATCTCGATTGAGTACAACTAAAAAAAGAAAAAAAACTTCTAGTAAATCAAATAAAAAAAAACGTAGAAAAGGTCGAAATATGGATGAAGAAGACGGTGAACCTGATTCCGATGAAAAGACCTATAAAAGTAAAGTATTTGACAGGTAATAATAATAAATCCACAGTTTATTTTTTACTAAAAAAAAAAAAAAAAAAAAAAAAAACAGGCTTTTATTTATTTATTTACTTCTGTATATACATTCTATAGAGGTGCATTACACCTGTACATAGAAACCAGAAAAAAAAAAATACAAAATTTACGCATACTTTTTACAAATCAAAAAAATTTCAATAGAAAAGTAATGCACAAAATTACAAATGTCATAACAAAAATTACTATACCATCATCTCAAAAGCATAGATAAAACCATAAGTTTCTAACAATTCAAATTTCTAATAAATTTGCAAATTTTTCTTAGAACCTTCTTGGATACATTCAGTGTTTTTAACTCATTCGGTAGTTTATTATAATATTTAATTGCTACATAGTAAGGTAAAAGACCCAGTTATCGACACTGGCCTAGTTATTTACCACTTTCAATTTTATTTTAACTAAAAAAATAAAACGTTCTCAAAAAATCAATTATCTTGAAATGTATAATTAAAAAATTATCTATATTATTAAGAGAATAATCAAAATTTTGTGGCCAGTGTTTTTATATGATAAAATGGGTTTTTATGGTTAAATTTGGTATCGTTAGTAAAGTCTTAACCTGGAGTTGTGTCTTTTCATAGTTTCATATCATTCTCACAAATAATCAATTTATTATATGTATTTAGGCTGCATTTGAAAATGCTCTATCTCTAGATACATAATTAAGAAATGACCTTGTATCTCATGAACTATTGAAATTTTTAAAGATATAAGCTCATCCTGATGTTACACTCATCAACACCTTTCATTTGAGCACCCACATCAATTTTTCATATATTTATATATATTATATATATATGTATATATGAAAAATATATCAAAAATGCATGTGGGTACTCAAATGAAAGCTCTTGATTAGTTTAACATCGGGATGAGCTTAGATCTTTAAAAACGTCAATAGCTAAAAAAAATACAGTGCAATTTAACAAAAATCATTATTTAATACAAAATTTTATTTATTTATAATTCACAAGTCACGGCAGTCACGTAGTGACTGCAAGGTTGCTAGTATTTATTAATTTGTTTTTTCTTTTTAATTAAAATAAAATTGCAAGTGTCATTAACTAGGTCTTTTACCTTATGCATTTTTGGCGTTTATATTCATCTTTTATTTTCAAAAGTATCAACGACTCATTGCTTATTTTCATTTTACTGATTAATTTATTTAGAATTTCGGCTAACGATTTAACAGGTGTTAAAGCAATAATACCATAATTATTTACACTTTCAAACAAGCCATGATAAATTGTTTTTACAGTCAATTATAATTAATTAATAATTTCTAGTGATGATGATTCGGAAGTAGAAGTGTCCAACGATCTAACTGGTGACAAGAAAGCAGTATTTGATTTCATGCAAACAGCCATTTTGGCGGAGCTGCTGATGATGCATCAGTGCTCGCAGAAGAAGGCTGAGGCGATAATAGCTGCTCGGCCATTCGAAGACTGGCGGGACATGGTTGATAAGTTCCAGCACAACAAATATCTGGACACTGAGTTACTTAACTCAGCCCAGGTGCTCCTGGCGACTCGCAATGTCGTCGAGGTCCTGATGAAAAAGTGCCTAAGACTCTCCGCGAATATGGAGAAAGCGGTAGCAGCTGGTGCCTCGATGATAAAAGAACAACCGAAGGGTTTGTCTCCGGAGTTGAAATTGACCGCTTATCAAATGGTCGGGATAAACTGGCTCGCTGTCCTGCACTCACAGAACGTAAATGGTATTCTCGCTGATGAAATGGGTCTTGGGAAGACCATTCAAGTTATTGCTTTCCTCACGTACTTAAAGGAGGCTAATTTGCTCAGAGAAACTGACGGACCGCATCTGATTATTGTTCCTAGCTCTACAATGAGTAATTTTTTTTCTTTATTTTTTTTAAGTTATAAATGATTAAGTTTGATGAAAATGCTTTGAGTCAATATTTTAATGATTTTTTATTAGGATAAAAGTACTGATAAATTTTTATAAAAGCATTTTTATTATATTTAATCTTCTGTAGCTTTTATACTAAGATGTTATACGCACTGAGAAGTTAAAAAATCAATTGATTTAACATTTTATTTTTAACTATAAAACAGAAAATTTAATTTCACTATAAATATTTGTATAATTATAAGAATATTTATAAAGCTTTTCCTCAAAATTATATTTTTAAAATAGGTGAGCAAGATTTTTTAAAAATGGATGATAAGATCACAGTGTCTTATTTTTACATAGTTATCTTGACTATATTTTTTAGTCATTAATTCAAGGATTAATAGCTCAGATAAATATTTTCCATTTTTATAAACAACTTAAATGATAATGAAAATTAATTTAGCAGATATTTAATAATTTTTTTAAACAAATAAATTATGGCAAAAAAAAAGAAAAAAAAAACATTGACAAGTAGAAATTATAAATGTAATTTTTTGAAAATAATTTTTCAGAAAAAAATTTGTTTATTAAATAAAATTAAAAAATTATCAAGTGACTTTAATGTCATTAAATGATACTGAAATTAGCAGACATTTGACAATTTTTTTTATTTATTTATAAAAATCAATTCTAAAAAAATTTTTTTTAAAAAGTTTAACTTGTAATTTTTTGTTTTAATTTCTAGATGTAGAATTTTTTACTAGTAATTTAATTGCTATACAAATAAAAAAATGTATACCTGTTAACTTCAGGGTCATATAATTTAAAGCTAAAGTTCTCATCGAAAATCGATCATTTTAATTTCACTGAATAATGTCTTATATAACTGGAATTTTTCTGGATTTTTGAATATCGATGATTCAAACTGAAGATATCTTGCTCACCACAAGTAACGTTTTTTATAAGACCTCTCGTAGATTTATAGGAGCCAAAAAAAAAAATAATTAAAAAAAAAAAAAAATTTCTAAAATTCAAAATAACTCAGGTAAAAAACCCAATTATTGATGCTTGCAATTTTATTTTAATTAAAAAAAAAAAAAAAACAAATCAACTCTGATAAATTAATAAATATAATTTTTTGATTATAAAATTTAAGATAATTAGTTTTTTGAGATTATTTTATTTTTTTAATTAGAATAAAATTACAAATATCAAACAACTAGGCCAGTATCAATAACTGGGTCTTTTACCTTAATATAAATTTTCATATTAATAAATTGAAAAATTTCTTCAAAAAAAAATGATTAAAAATTTCCTTTTTTTGGTTTCTAAGTGCGTATGACCCCTCAAATTAATAACTAATATCAAATGAAATTATTAAAAATAAATTTTACAGATAATTGGATCAACGAATTCGAGCGTTGGTCACCAAGCCTAAACATCGTACAGTATTACGGGAACCCAGACGAGCGGAAAGACATCAGAATGGGCTGGCGCCAAGGAGAGTTAGACGACGTGGACGTAATCATAACAACATACAACCTGACCAGCAGCACGCCAGAAGAGCGTCGCCTGTTTCGGGTCCTGCCGATCACCTATGTCGTGGTTGACGAGGCACATATGCTAAAAAATATGAGCACAATTAGGTACGAAAATCTAGTGAGAATAAACGCCCAGCATCGTATTCTGCTGACGGGTACCCCGCTGCAGAATAATCTCTTGGAGTTGATGTCGTTGCTGATGTTCGTCATGCCGTCTCTATTCGCTGGTAAACAGAACGACTTGAAAAGCTTGTTCTCGAAGAACCCGAAGATCACAGCAGCGGCTAAAGATCAGGCGTTCTTTGAGCGTGAGCAGGTAAAAAACGCTAAGCAGATAATGCGACCCTTCGTGCTGCGTCGTCTCAAATCTCAGGTACTTAAAGACTTGCCGTTGAAAACTGAGGAGGTGATCAAGTGCAGCCTCACTGAAAAGCAAAGGGAGATGTACAAAGAGTTGATGAGCGAGTTTTCGGAAGAAGCTGGCAGTGGAGTCCCTTTCAATGGTCCTGGTATGATGATGCAGCTCAGGAAGCTTGCCAATCATCCGCTTTTGCATCGGAATTTTTACGATGAAAGCAAGCTGCGTCCAATGGCCAAAAAACTCGCCAAGGATTCGACTTATAAAGAGACAAATCCTGATCATGTTTTTGATGATCTCTACTGGATGTCGGATTATGCTATTCTTGGACTGACAAGGTTCCACAGGTGTCTTGCTGGGTACGGGTTGCCTCAAGAAATGGTTCTTCAGTCCGCTAAGTTGGAGAAACTCGACGAGCTCTTACCTGTGATGAAAAAAGACGGACATAGAGTTTTGATTTTTAGTCAATTTACTATGCTGTTGGATATTCTTGAAGAATATCTAACTATACGCTGCCACAAATTTTTAAGGCAAGTATTGGAAAAAATTTTTATTTTTTTTTTTTTTTGATAAATTTTGGTTTTATTATTTTTTTTTTTTTTTTTTCTGCAGACTGGATGGTCAAACGCCAGTTCCTGAAAGACAGGCTTTGATCGATGAATATACTGAAGACTCATCAATATTTGTATTTCTTTTGTCCACAAGGGCTGGTGGATTAGGTATTAATTTAACTGCTGCGGATACAGTAATTATTCATGATATTGATTTTAATCCTTACAATGATAAACAAGCGGAAGATCGATCTCATCGTTTGGGTCAAAAAAAGTAAATTTTTTTATATTATAATTTATTATTAATTAGGATAGAAGTACCATTTTTGGCCACTTGATATTTTAGTGAATTTGTAAAAAATTTAACTATTCAAGTAGAATTTTTATAAAATTTATGAATTAGTAAATTTATACGGATTGAATTCATAAAATCTTGCGCTTATAGAAATATTTACACAATAATTTGAAAATAAAGTGGCCAAAAAAAGTACACTGGCCACAAACGGTACTTCTACCCTATTATTTTAAGCTTTGACTACATTTTTAACACCAGATTTTGAAGAATGCATGTTTATTAATAAATTTTATCAATTTAAAAACTGTGAATAAATTTAATGTAAAAAACCATGACAGTTAGTAAAAAATATGTAATGTAAAAGACCCAGTTATTGACATTGGCCTAGTTGTTTGATACTTGCAATTTTATTCTCATTAAGAAAATTAAATGTTCTCAAAAAATGAATTTTCTAAAAATTTATAATTCAAGAATTAAATTTATTAACTTTAACAGTCGATTTGTTTTTTTTTTTTTTTTTTTTTTTTTTAATGAAAATAAAATTGCAAGTATTAATAACTAGACCAATGTCAATAACTAGGTTTTTTACCTTATATTGAGATCAGAAAATATTAGTCAAGACACTCTTATAATACGATGATTAATTATTGAATTTATTTATTTCAATTGAATTGTATTGATTAATTAATTAATTCAAAAATTAATTAGTGTTTATGATTAATGTTTTCTAATCCCAACACTGAAAAAAATTAACTTGATGCAAAAAAAATTCTTGAAAATTAAAATTTAAAAAATTACTAAAATCAATAAAAATTTCTCAATTCAAGAATTTTTCTGCTTCAATCAAGTTAATTTTTTTTTTTTTCAGTAAATATATCTGTTATTCTTGACTTATTGCCATGGTTTTTTATGATAAATTTATTTAGAATTTTTTATATACCGAAAAAAAAAAAATAATCTAGTATTATAATATATATATTTTTTTAAAATGAATGAAGACTAAATATTTAATGATAAAAAACATAAAATAATAATTACATGATAATTTTTTGCCTGATTATTTGTAATCATTTTTCAAAGTAATTTTTTTGTTATATAAACAAAATGTAAAGTTAATTTTTATTTTTATCTATAGCCCCGTCCGCATAATAAGATTATTAGCTGAAAATACTATTGAAGAAGGAATGTATGAAATTGCTCAAGAGAAATTGCACTTAGAAGCACAAGTAACTGAAAATGAAGGTAATTTTATTTTATCTGTTTTATATTTATTCAATATAAAAAATAAAAATAATTTTTGTTATTATTTAATATTACAGAGAATGAAAACACTGATAGGAAAAGTGTCTTGAGACTGCTAAAAATGACACTAGGTCAAGATATACACAACAAATCGCTCTCTCTGAGTCCGACGAAGGCCTCTAACAAATCTTGGGACGACATTAAAGTCGAGGAGTTTTAAAATTATTTTGTAATCAACTGCGGTATTAGAGCATGAAGATTTTAGCACAATTGTGAGACACATTTTTTGAAATAATTTAAAAAAAATTGTAAAATTCATGTAAAGTTGCATACGAGACGACTGCCCCTATACTATTTTTACTGTTTATTCACTCATGTTTGATACTACGTATTACTTTTACTATTAATATTTATATTAATTGTATTTTATTTTATTTTGCCATACCACCCCACGTGTAATTTTACTCTCGTGTAGCTAAATCAATTTACTTTGAGACTTTGTTCACGCCAAATCACATTCCACTATTTATTTATAATTTAAATCGACCTTTTACATTTATTTTTTTTTGCTCTGTAATTTAATAAATAACTTTGTACTGGAGGATTTTATTAAAATGGTTTGAATCTCTTTAATAAAGATCGTTTGATTGTATAATATTTATTATTATTATCAATTTTATTTAGATGTAAAGCTCCACGATTTTTTGGTCATAAAAAATTAACATATTTTTTTTTTTTTTTTTTCATTTTTTATGTTAGATTTATGAATTATTTTTAAAAAATAAAAAAAAATTAGAATTTTTGTCATATTATTTACAAAATTAATTTACTAATTAGTACTTATAAATGCGGTACTATTTTTTTTAAATGCATAAAAAATTAAAGAAAAAAGAGATTTATGATATTTTTCAAGTTATCCATTTCTTCAAAAAAATTTAAATTAACAAATGTCATTGTTTGTTACCTTTTCACGCGAAAATTACTCAACCGATCATCATGGAACTTTGTAAACATGTTCTCGGAGGTATTGGAAGTAACATAGAATACTTTGTATTAAAAAAAAAATTTATTTTTTACGAAAAATAAAAAAATTGGTTGTCAAAAAATCTCAAAATCTAGCTACTTCAACGCCATTTAGCATGCGAGCGAAGCCGCGGGTGAAAGCTAGTAGTTAATATTCTCTTAAAAATATGACGATTGGGGTATTAGATTCAGAATTTGATTTTGAGAAATTGGAATTTTTTAACTTATCTGTCTCATTAAAAATTTCATTTGTTCTAAACAACAAACCAAGAGAAAGAAAAAGGGAGTCTCAGTTTTGTAGCTACTATAACTTCCAAAATATTAAATATATTTAAAATTTGAAAAAAGATCCTAAAAAGAGAAGAAAATCTCAGTAAAATAAGTCTCAACTCCCGAAGTTGTAGCTCCATTATTTATAATTTCAAATTGTCTATAAATTAGACACTCTTTTAAGTGTCTATAAATTTTTTTCTTTTGGGAGCTCTTGTTAGATAAATTATGAACAAGATTCCGTTGTAAAAGTTTATAAAAATTTTTTCATTCGTTTATAATGATTTTTCAAAGTTATCAAAAATTGAAATATCCGGCTAATGTTATAAAAAAATTTTTTTTTCCAAAATCTTTAATTTTGGTTGTTTTTGTATTAAAGAGTTACATGGGTTTCACAGTTTCAAAAAATCGATTTTTTTTGTCTCATTAAATTCTACAACATCTCTAGAATATTGTCCTAAAGTTTCAAATCGATCCGAATAATAGTATACAGTTTTAAAAAGTTGCGCAGTTTGAGTAATTGCAATTTTAAAACTAAAAACTACAAAAATTTTAGAGGAATTTAGAAATAAAGAACTTCGAAGGAGTACGTATAAGTATGATTTTTTTCAGAGGTATTGATTATTAAAAAAAAAATAAGTTGACTTAATGAATACAAATGTTTAAAATTTGAATATGTCTTTATTTTAAAAATTATTTTTTTCTTCGTCGTTTTGTCTCTGGCTGCTTCTCTGATGTTGATGACTGACTTAGGAGTTCTTCAGGAACTTCGTGAATTGGATCTTCCGCATCTTCCCTTTTCACTTCCGTCTGTAAGTACCCGAACTCATCGACTGGAAGTGATCTAGTACCAGAATAGCAGATAGTGGTATCTTTTCGGGGACGTGTTGTTATCGTGATGTCTTCATTATATTTGAGTTTTAGGTATTTTAAAATTGTTTTATCAGATATCTCATTATTACTGACTTCTTGCAACTCTTTTATGGAAAATTGACCCTTGTCATTATTTTCAATGTAATTATATATTAACTGTAAAGTATTTTCTACACGTGGATCCGGAATACCAGTTAAAGTGGGTGGTCGTGGAATGTAGACAAATTTTCTAAAACAACGAGAATGATATCGAGCCTGAACATCGACTAAAGATGGTGTTGTTTTAATAATAGAGATTAAATTTGCCGCAAGATCATCATTACGTTCCTCAGCGATTTTCAATAACTTATTTTTTAGTGAGTCTACAGAAATCTTATATTTTTCTCCACTTTTTTTAGCATAATTTTTTTGGCAAAACAGACACAGTGACTTAAAGTCGAAATTATCAGTGGAACTAGCCCGTGAAGACCGTGCAGAGAGTGAAGAATCTGCAGATTTTGGAATTCTGAAGGTCCCGGTTGAATAATCTAGATAACAACGAGCGTGAACAAGAATTTCAGTTGTTTTTTCGAGCAATTTCCAATATAAATAAAATCTAAATAAATAAAATTTCATATTAATAAATAATATGAACGATTGCAATAAATTTTATTATCAATAAAATATGTTACGAATAATTATATTATTTAGTAATTAAAGTAGTTTACGATAATTATAAAATTATAAAAGTTTTAATACACAATAAACGCAACTAGAGAGAGAGCAACGGTTCAAAACGAAATGACGAGCGGAAACGGACATGACGAAATCGTAACGAACAAATCTGCTGTGTATGTTGTGTGAATAGGGTAGAAGTACCGTTTTTGGCCACCTTAGCATCGTTTTTGGCCAATTAACATTTGAATTAATTTATAAAAAATTATAATATTATAACCATATTTTTGTTGAGTTTTAAAAAATGTACTAGAATTTGAATTTACGCGCGCAAGCGCGCGCTTTGACTATAGAGTTTGCATATATTTTCATGCTTATGATATATTCAACTAATCACGTTACGAATAGTTTGATGCCACATACATTTCATCTCAATTTTATATTAGGACTAGTATACGTTGCGCGCGCAAGCGCGCGTGTGAATGTTGGTATGGAATTATCTATATTTTCATGCTTATGATATATTTGACCAATCACATTACGAATAAAATGTCTTCATCAATGTATATATTTTCATATTTTTCATCTAAATTATAAGAGTGGACTAGAATTTAAATTTACGCGCGCAAGCGCGCGCCTTGACTATAGAGTTTGCATATATTTTCATGCTTATGATATATTCGACCAATAATCACGTTACGAATAGTTTGATGCCACATACATTTCATCTCAATTTTATATTAGGACTAGAACTAGAATTTAATTTTCGCGCGCAAGCGCACGCCTCATATTTATTGTCATGATGTATTTATGTGTCGTTTATGTATATTATATCCACTTTCAACCAATCAGAATGAGAATATTTATTTTCAACCAATCACATCACGAATAAATTGGTTTCAAATACATTTCATCTCAATTTTATTATAGGACTAGAATTTGAATTTACGCGCGCAAGCGCGCGCCTTGACTATAAAGTTTGCATATATTTTCATGCTTATGATATAATATTCGACCAATCACGTTACGAATAGTTTGATGCCACATACATTTCATCTCAATTTTATATTAGGAAATATGGGATTAAAGGCTTGTTTACACTAACGATAGCCTTACAATCAGCATGACGCGAAATTTGAAATTTCCTACTACGCTGACTATTGCATTAGAAGATATAAATACATATATTGACATAATGCATAGTAGTGTATTTAGTTGACGTTTGAATAAGGTCCGTTGAACAATAGACGCATCATCAAATATATTTCTGTTAGTCTAAAGATTTTTAAGTAAAGATGGGTCGTATTGTCGTGTTTACCACAATGTCAATTTTAACACAACATATCAAAAAAATTATGCCAAAACTAGATTTAATTTATATTAATCCAGGTAAATTAAAAATAACACTTTTTATTAATAAATAAATTTTTCAAGGTCAAAATTGAGTATCACTTCGATTTTCTTTATGCTTATCAAATTTTTCTTGTTAGTGTACTTTTATTTGATTTCTCTCTTCTTCATAATAAATGATAAGATTGTGTTATGATGATTAATTTTTTTTATCATTACAAATTTTATTTAGAGAAAAATAAAATTATTTTTTTTTATTGATATAATAATAATTTATCAAATAATTTTATTCTAATTTTAACGTTAAAAAAAATTCAATTTTTAATTTCTATATTTATTTTTAATTTCAAAAAGAAAACTGTAAACTGTCAAAAGTAGTTTTTTATTATTACTCGTGTAGTCATTTGCGTAACATAAAAATTCTCTGCAGTATGCCTATTACTAATCACTAGAGTATATTATATGTAAACAGTTGATTGTCATTTAACAATTATAAGTATTTATTTAAAAGCAATGTATTGATCTTTTTAACAGAAAGCAGTACTGAATCACTTAAATTGGATGACGTTGAAATAATGATAGCAGACTGTCGGTACTTGCCAAAAATAAGAGGCAAATTAAACAATATTAAATGGATCCAGTCAATATCAGCCGGAGTTGAACAGCTAATTGAATTACGTCATGAAAAAAACATTAACTTTGTAATTACTAGGTTCGTTGATGAGACGTATGGTTTAGATATGGCTGAGTACATTATTATGCAAATCGTTGCTTTTGAAAGACGACAAAGAGAAGAATATGAAAAACTTAAAAGCGCGGTTTGGCCACATAATTCAATGTTTGTTTCTCGGAGATTAATTTCTCAAATGAATATTGGGATTATGGGTATCGGCAACATTGGAAAAGTCGGTAAGTATCAAAATTTTTTGTAACATAAAACTTGAATCTAGTAAAGATGATTTTTTTATATATTTTTATTAAGCGCTAATTGAAAAAAAATTTGGATTTTTGAAAATTTACAACTCAAAATTTTTTATATTTTTTCAGTTGCGAGGAGTTTGAAACATTTCAATGCAAAAATTTGGGGCTTAACTCGCACGATTCCAACTACAAAAGAGCCTTACATTGACGAGTATCGGACGACAAATTCATTACCAGAATTTCTATCTAATTGTCATTATATTATAAATATAATGCCAGCCACTCCAGAGACTAATGGGCTGTTGAATGGCGACATGTTAAAAAATTGTAAAGAAAATAATGCAATTTTTATGAACGTTGGTAGAGGAAATATAATTAAAGAAGATGACTTGGTGAACGCTCTTGAAAATAAATGGATAACTGCTGCAATTCTAGACGTTTTTGAAGTCGAGCCTTTACCATCAACCAGCAAACTTTGGACAATGCCTCAGGTACTGATAATGTTTTGATAAATCTTTTCAATTTATTTTTGAATTTTTATACTAAGATTTAAGAACATAGATATGCAAATTTCAAAAAAATTGATGAACAATTTTTTATATTTGTAGGTGATAATAACACCACACAATGCGTGTACTGTAAGAGCAGATGGTATTGCAAACTTATTCAAAAGTAATTACGAAAAATACATGAAAGGTGAAACATTACCAAATGTATTGAATATTCAACGTGGATATTGATAACAGATACAAAAATATTTTTTAATATTAATTTTATTATTTATTTATGTATCAAATATTATATTACGTATTTTTATCAGTATTATATACTTTTATCAAATGTATCGAGTACGGTAGAAATGAAATTATTTTTTTTTATCTTAATTAGTGTTATAAATAACTAATGTTGTTTTTTAATATAATATAAGTAATAAAGTTTTAAGTCAGAGAAAATATATGAAAAAGTAGAAAAAATAATAAATAGTTTTAAACTTATTGAGCCGGTGAAATTTGCTGACTTGTTGGTTTTAAACCACGAATGCTTAAATCATAAACAACTTCTTCAATTTTCTTGACATCGTACTTCAAAGCATCGAAGCGTTTTCTCAAATTGTCGTTTTTCAAGTTGAGCAATCGAAAACCAGCATTTAATTCATTGACAAAACGTGCAATTTCAATTGGTCGATTGTAATCACCACATGTGACGCTATTTACTGCAAATCGTGTCTATAACACAAAAATAAGAAAAGATAATTTACAATTATCAACTCATATTTTTGAAATTAAATTAAAGTAATCATAAGTAAATTCAGTTTCATTTATCTAATAAGTTTTAAAATTTAATGTTAGAAATATAAAAAAAAAAATATCTACAGCACATCTGAAGTATTTGAAAAATTTTTAAAAGTACTTTTTTTTTTTAATTGATACTTTAATTTTATATTATCTTACATTTATAACATAGATTTTTATTAGATATCTACTTTTTTTAAGTATTATCGAATGCAGCAGAAATATGAAAATTTCTTGATTTAACAGCAAAATTCTAAATTATACTTATGAAAATGTAAAAAATGTTTAGTTGTTTACAAAATAAAAAGGTAATCGAATGATATTTTTTTTCAGTGTAATAAATCATAAGTATTTGTTTACTCACCAGTTCAGCAGACAACTCGAGCAAGCCCATCAGAAATTCTTCAATATCCAAATGAAAGCCTTCTTCACGGTTGCTTTTAACTTAAAAAAAAAATTATTTAAAACAATTAACTCAATAATATTCTGTGTGGTATCGCGTAAACTTGTAATATTTGTCTAACTATTTTTAGCTACTTACTTCCAAGAAATTCAGCAACTGTTTCTTTAGTAACAAGTGTTTTGACCTCTAGATAAATGATTAAAGAAACAAGAAAGCACAGTCTTTGTGTAACATAACGCCATTGATCATGGAATCGGTAATACTGATCATTTGGTACCAATTTTTCCAATTCTGAATAGTATTGACGAACCGTTTCAAAATGTTCTCGTGCTTTTGCACAGTACTGCGATACAACTATAAAAAGTAAAAAATATTATTGTCAATACATGGTAATAATTTGTGTGATTTCCAAATGTAGAAATTAAAAAAACTATAAATGTAATTTAAAAAAAAAAATTGTGCTTAGAAATAATTTATTTTTTAAACAAAATTAAAAAATTGTCAGATGTCTGTTGATTTCAGTATCATCAGACTTTTCAACACTATACAGATATCTGTTCATTTTTAGAATTATTTATAACAAATAAATTATTGTAGAAAAAAAAATATTCTCAAGAATTAGCATTCATTTTTTTACTTCTTGCATTTGAATTTAAAAAATAATAATTTTAGTTCAAAAAATTCTGTTAATTTTATTAATATTAAGATTTATTTATCTATTGTTATTTATTTATATTGACAACTTACTAATATCTTCTTCCATTGGATTTTCATTGTGAATATTTTGTAAAACCATTAAAATATCTCGAGAACATTTTTCGAGCTTTCGGACAATAACACGTATTTCCTATAATAAAAATTTTTTTACATGAAAAAAAATGAGTAAATTCTTATAAATAAGTTTATAAATTTATAAAATGTGAAAAAATAATTTTTACCTCTCTCAATTCTTGTTCATAGTTAAGGTAATCTTGAAATGAATTAAAGATTTTTGCAACTTCTGCCATTGCTTTTATTGTTATCAATATGAGAATGTTAGTATTTAATTATATTTACTTTTATTTAAACAACAAATTCTGCTTATGAAGAATAATATAATATGTTTACGCGTGAGTTTATGCTATATTATCAGTTTATTTTTTAAGGTTAGAACTCGTAATTTAAATGTATGTATATATGTATTACCTAATATATTTATCAATTTATTTTGTTATACAGATATGAGGAAATTATTTTAATGAGAACTTGAATAAGTAATTGTGGTGAATTTATTTTTATAATTAATAAAAATATTTTAAAAAACTATAAATCATTTTATTTTAATGATACTGAAATCACACTTGGCAAATAACACTTGATCATTTTTAGATTTTGTTCAAAAAAATTCTAAAAGTTATCAGATATTTCTCAACTTTAATTTTATCAATTTGTTAAATTTTATTGTTATTTTTATTTTTGCTGTACAATAAGTAAACTTGTAAATTTTTTTTTTATTTACATAAAACTTATAAATTTTTTAATATTCAAGTTTTAATTTGTCAAAATTAAAAATAAAAAAATTATTATTTTAAAAATAATTTATCAAATAAAATTTAAGAAAATTTATTTTGTAAATAAATTTTCATCAAAGTAAATTTTTTTAATTTCATTAAAATACATTCCAGTCATTTAAAAAATGTATATTTTTGTTTAAAAAAAAAAAAAACAAAAATATCTGTATTAAAAACTGTAATTTAATAACTTAACTATATACAATTTGTATTTGATATTTAATAAATTAACAATATAATTACACTATTTTTATTTTATAATTTCAGGATTTAATGTAGAGACAGTCGAGTATAAAAATATTAGTTTCACTGTATGGGATGTGGGTGGTCAAGATAAAATTAGACCTCTCTGGCGACACTATTTCCAAAACACACAGGTAAAAAATTTCCACTAATCAAAACGAAAAAAAAAAATTATTAATAACTAGTACCAAGTAAGCAGTTTTTTACCAAATGATTAATAAATAAAATGTCAATCTTATTACAGGGATTAATTTTCGTAGTTGACAGTAATGATAGAGAGCGTATTGGAGAAGCACGTGAAGAGTTAATGCGAATGTTAGCGGAAGATGAATTAAGAGACGCCGTTCTTTTAATATTCGCTAACAAACAAGTAAGTATCACTATCTATAAATTAAAAATAACCTTTGAATAAATTATTAGACCCGCTATTTTAACCAACAACTATTAATAATTATAATCAATAACTCACAATCTCTGAAGCTATTGATTTTTTTTCTTTAAATTTAATCAAAAAATTAACAATAATTTTTATTGATAATTAAAAAATTTTTTAGGATTTGCCAAATGCGATGAACGCCGCCGAAATAACAGACAAATTGGGGCTGCACTCGTTACGCAACCGTAACTGGTATATCCAGGCAACGTGTGCCACAAGCGGAGACGGTTTGTACGAGGGTCTTGACTGGCTATCCAATCAACTGAAAAACGCAAACCGCTAATCAACGATGATACCGTCAACACTAAAAATTGTTGCTAAAATCATCGCCAACTTAACAAAAAACAAACAAGCTAATAAATAAAATAAATAAAATAATAATAATAAAAATCGATTCAAAACATCAATAAAAAAAAAAAATAAATAAAAAAATTACAGACAAATTAAATCAACGGCTCACATGTGCCCTCTCGAGAGTACAAAAAAATACGATTATGATTGACGCGTTAATATAATTTTTTTTTTTTCTTCATTTTGATTTTTTACTGCTCTAATTTGTAACATCTTTAGGTGCGGGAGAGAGGGCAAGTGGACTTGAACAATTAAAAGCTAGATAGGTGTCAGATAGTAAAAAGGACGCAGGCATAAAGGAGGCACGTGAGACCGTGTGACCGGCTCTAGACATTTTTGTTTATTTTTTTTTAGTTAGCACACGGACTGACGTTCGCATGGATTTTTGCCCTGTGCAAAACTTATTATAATTATTTTATTAAATCTATTATTATTTTTAATATTATAATTACTATTAATTATTATTATAATTATAATTAATATTGTATTGATAATTATTATATATTAGGATAGTTACACTTTTTACACAAAAAAAGATAAAAAAAAAAAAAAAAAAAAAAAATAACCACGAGTGTGGAGTAATCAAGTGAAGTCTGTACTGAGAAATATCTGATTAAATGATTTGTAATTAAAATAATTGGTAACTTTGTTTTTCAAGTAAATTTTTACATTTTTTTTTTGTATTTAATAAACCTGAATTATTATTAGTTAATAACTCAGTCGCACACGGTTTATATTATTTAAATTTTATTCACTTGTAAATTACTCTAAATTGGGAAATTAAAAATTTTAATGTGATCTTAGAAAAGAAAATGAAAATATAATGTCTCGTCCAACAACTAAGTAGTAAACTTTCCTCTCTCCTTTCCCCGAAGAGTTTTTTTTTTTTTTTTAATTTTATAAAACGCGTCTTGGTCTATTTACTCTCGCTATTTAAATATTTGGCGTAGACATTCCTTGGATGTCAAGTTTTAAACTTGGTGATTGTTCGCGAGTGAATGGATAATGGATAATAATATCAATTAACAATTAATAAAATAAAAGTTTTTATAGATATGTGCTGGAAAATTGTTTTTTTCTGTATTAATATAGAGTGAAGAGTTACGCTTGATATATATATATATATATGTATACATATAAAAAATATGTATATGTACACGGAAAGAACAAGATGACACTGGATATCATCCTAGATTATACTGAGTGAAAAAAAATTTCAGATAGTAGCTAGTATAATCCAGATTATAATGAGTATTATTCAGATTAGCAACTTTGCCACTATGTGACTTCCGAGACTTGTGAACTATAAATAAACAAAATTTTGCTTTATTGAATAATGACTTTTGTTAAATTGCACTGTACTTTTTTTAACTATTGACATTTTTAAAGATATAAGCTCATCTTGATGTTACACTTTCTGAGAGCTTTCATTTGAGTACCCACATGCATTTTTATATATTTTTCATATATTTTATATATATGATATTTATGGAATATAAAAAATATATGAAAAATTGATGTGGGTACTCAAATTAAAGGTCTCGATGAGTGTCATGTCGTAGTGAGCTTATATCTTCAAAAATATCAATAATTAAGAAATTATGTTGTATTTTGTCGCCTAATGATGTTATTGAAGATATAAGCTCATCTTAATGTTACACTTATCGAGACCTTTCATTTGAGTACCCACATGCATTTTTATATATTTTTCATATATTTTATATATATGATATTTATGAAATATATAAAATATATGAAAAATTGATGTGGGTACTCAAATTAAAGGCCTTGATGAGTGTAATGTCGGAGTGAGCTTATATCTTTAAAAATGTCAGTAGTTGACAAGATATAAGGTCATTTCTTAATTATTGATAATTTTAAAGATGTAAGCTCATCTTGATGTTACACTCATCAAGAGCTTTCATTTAAGTACCCACATGCATTTTTTATATATTTTTCATATATACATATATATAATATATATAAATATATAAAGTATATGAAAAATTGATGTGGGTACTCAAATGAAAGGTCTTGATGAGTGTAACATCGGAACGAGCTTATATCTTTAAAAATGTCAATAGTTCGCGAGATACAAGGTCATTTTTTAATTATGTATCTAGAGATAGAGCATTTTTTAATGCAGCTATTTAACCATGAAAACCCATTTTATCATATAAATACACTGGCTTAAATTTTTTTTCACCACAGATATCACTGAGATGATATAATCTAGGATGATATCCAGTGTCATCTTGTACTTTCCGTGTAAATAATCAATAATAATTTGTCTTGTTTTTCTGGAGGCTACATGCTTTAATTGGGTCTTGGACTTATTTTCTCAAAGAGTGCGTTTCGTATGAAAGTGCTGAATGCGTTTTTACAATATACACATAATCCTCTCGATTAAAGTATAAGATTTACATATAAATATTGAATAAATATATATATATATATTATAGTATATAAATAAAATAAATATAATAATAATAAAATAATTTCCATATGATTGAGTACGCCTTCACTGTCAGCGAATATTTAAAAAAAAATTTGTTCGTATATAATTATGTATGAATGTTCGATCATTTGTGAAATATATATTACAACTGTGCTTTACATAGGCGTTGTTTATAATAATAACTTATATATGAAATTAATTAATATAAATTTTAAGTATTTGGTTGACTCTTTACATGCCTAGCTGAAATAAAATTTTCTGAACCGAGCTCTCTGTGGGCTCTTTGTTTAAACAATTGTATACTGAAAATATTTGACATACAATAAAAAAAATCTAAATGAAAATAGATTAAATTCATTTATAATTATTTTCCTTAAGAAAATATTTTGTTATTTATGATTTATGAATTAATAATTCAGAGCAAGTAGATGGTAGATGATGCGAAAATCAACATTGCTGATGTTGTTCTATCTAATAAAACCTTTTTTTAACTTACGCGAACTCAAGGTATCTACGATTAAGATTATACCTCGTATGTGTGTTTTATTTAAGTGTAGTGTATTAAATACCCCAAATGAAAACAGAGGAAGCGTGTACACACAACGTCGTCATTGAAAAATGATAAATTTAAAAGGGGAACAGGATAAGTGCGTTGATGACGTACTCTATATTCAAGATAAAATATTTTATTATGAAATTCCAAGCTATCGGCTAAGTTAAAACATATATGTTCGATATTTATTAGCTATTCTGCTAAAATTGATTACTAAATAATTATTTTATAGAATTTTCCTTTTTTTTTATTTTTTTTTTTTAATATTAGTTTGCTTTTACTTTTTTAGCCGCTCAAATTTTTAATTAAAATAATAATAATAATAATAATAATACATAAATTTTTTATAAAAAGTTGTTAATAATTTAAAAAAAAAATGTTGTTATTATTATTATCACTTTTTAAGTCTTTAAAATTTTTAATAATAATAATCATAATAATAATACATAAATTTTTTATAAAAAATTGTTATTAATTTTTCTAAAAAATTTATTATTATTATTATTATTATTATTATTATTATTATTATTATTATTATTATTACAATTTATTTCAAAATTAAATTATAAAAAAAATATTGTATATTCAAATTAAGAAAAAAATTATAAGTAGGAATTTTTTAAAATATTAAAAAAAAAAATTGATTTTAATAAAAATTAAAAAAATTTTCAGAAGTCTTAAGCTAATCTTTGAGTATCATTTATTAATGATTATTTTCATTATTATTATAATGAAAATAAAGTTAGCAGACACCTGAAAATTTTTATGATTTTTGTTATTAAAAAATTATTGAAAAAAAAATTTTTTTTAATTTTTTCATTTGTTAAAAACTTCAAAAACTATAAGTGCAATTTTTTAGTTGTTTTTGCTTAATGAATTAAGCAAAAAAAAAAAAATTAAAAATGACGGCTTTATTATTATCAATAATAATAATTTTTTCAATGTTAATTTGTATTTCGCGGTTTTCCGCGTATTGATATTTTAGAATAAATCTAGGCATGTGAGTAATTATTTTAAAAGAAATTTTATGATTTATAAGATACTATAAATCAAATTTATTATTATTATTATTTTTATTTTTGTTATTATTATTATTATAAAAACTGCTTTCGAGATTCCATCAACATCTTCAGATACAAGTTTTTATTTATTAATTATAATTAATTATTATTGTACAGTCAAGGTTTTTATATGAATATTCGTAATTTAATTATACTCACAAAGTTCCCGTATATATTTACGATGTAAAGATTACGATTTTGCAGGTTTAAAAAGTATGCTGTGAAGTTGTAAGATAAATTTAATTACACTAAAAATAGATACTGAAAGTGCCAGACGTTTAATAATAGTTTTTTTTTAACATATGAATTAATAAAAAAATTTTAAAAGAAGAAATTTCATTTTAGTTTTTAAAAATACATCTGAAGAATAAAAATTAAGTTAGCCATCTGAAAATTTTTATTTATTGAAAAAATTATTTAAAAAATTTTATTTATAAAAAATGTAAGTACAATTTTTTAAAAATATTTTCTTGTCCTAATTTAATTAATAAGAAAAATTAAAAACGTCGGCTAACTTCAAGTATTATATCTGAAGAGTATACTTCACAACTCTGAAGTAAGAAGAAATAAAAAATTCTTGTTAACTTCAGTATCATTTTTTTTTTATTTTTTCTTGGCTAAAAAAAAAGATTTAAAATATTGTAAGTACTTAAAAAAAATTACACTGAAGTTGACAGACAGAATTTTTTTTATAATTTTTTAGCAATTAAATTATTAAAAAAAAATTTTAATAAAAAAATTGAAAAAGTGAAAATTAAGTTAGCCGACTTTTAAAAATTTTTAGAATTTTTTTTATTAAAGAAATTATGACAAAAAAAAATTATTTTTAAAAAACTTTAAAAACTATAAGTGCAATTTTT